GGAACGCTATACGTTTCGTTATTGTTACTACTTTATTTTTATGACGAATCGATAGTTACCTATTTCTTTCAACTATATTATAAATTCTTTTTAACTTTCGACTGACTATATCTCAAACAAAAAGCAGTCGGTAATAAGTTGATCATACGATTCCACCATTGCCCTCAATATTTTCTATGTTCCATGTCGGTCCTAGCCGGTAGGGCCTAGCAAAGCATGTTGGTAAATTAATGACTTTTACGTCCTATGACTATCAGTGGTATCTCGTAAAAAGGTTCACCATAACTATATACATAGTGTGTAAATAACGAACCTCTGAATGGTCTAGCTACTAGTACAAACAGCATGGCCCATCGAATAGATGTATAACGATACCTAGCGGACCACAGTGGCAAACGACCCTTGAGATAACACTCGGTACATGTGATTCATGTAAATTTTTTTGCTTTCTCCTGAATACGTTTTTTTTTTAAACTACCAGTCGTATCCTTACTAGAATTTAGGACGTTTGATTTCTTGATAAAATTAGTCACCTAGAGTCATAATGTTCCTATAACAATTTTCCACGATCTCTTATGCATCTAGATTTCACTAGTAATTGCAATAACGATAACGTTCATATAGATCCCTCGCAGAATAATCGGAACGATCCATTCGGTTCGTGTTTCTGAAGTTATATTATAGCACGCAATGCCTATGATAGAAAAAACCTAAGATAGAAAAAAAATTTTGATTTTTTACATTGCAAACATTTTCGTCGTGAATATGGCAAAGAAAAGCAGACAAAACCAAAACAATTGGCCATTACCCGTTAGGTAAAAGCTTGAGCTCACGAGCTGTGCACCTCGGACAAAGTCGATGATGATGATCACCTAGCGATTTAGGAAGGCAAATTATCATTGTCCATCGTAAAATTCACTGAATGAGAGGATCGTGCAAAGCGAACGATAAGAATTCACGCCGCTCTTCATCAAGCGTCTCCTATCCGATTCTGCATGGATGTGTGCTTTTTTCGTGCATCGCTAACCGAACGACAATTACGCTTTGTTTCAATGGAAACGCAAACATCTGTCCGGCCGTGTAAAGCCAACAATCACAATATAATGTAACTTTGCGCCCAACAAAAAAACAGCGCATAAGGGCAAAATCTACTGGACGATATCAACAAACAATCGACATCACCTTTACGCAGCAGCAGCCCCTAAGGGAAGCAAAGCATGGCATGAGCCCTCAATGCCGACT